TGACTCACTGACTCACTGACTCACTGACTCACTGACTCACTGACTCACTGACTCACTGACTCACTGACTCACTGACTCACTGACTCACTGACTCACCGACTCACTGACTGCCGGACTGACTGACTGACCGACCGACCGACCGACTGACTGACTGACTGACTGACTGACTGCCAGACTGACTGGCTGACTGAACGACCGACCGACCGACCGACAGACCGAGCGAGTGAATTTCTTCCCCAACTAACTGCACTTAGTAGACCTCTGGCCGGAATTAACTGGCATTCATGTGTCGTTAAGGAGACGACTTCACCAGCAGAAAATTATCCCCTTTATAGCCAGTTTTTAAACTTTCTAAAGGTGCAAGGAAAGAGATATAGCAAAGAGAGAATGGAGTTTATCAGACCTGTGGTCCTAAAAGGAAGAGCCACAACCGGTATATGCGTGGACGTTCCTGAGGATATTTATTTAGCCGGGAAAACAGCGGAGTATCTTGTGAGTGTACTGTCGAAACTGAGAGAAATTGAAACGCACCCAGGTTGAATCAGGACGGGGTGCTGACCCAAGGTTCAATGTTCCAGTTGTCACCCACTCGGAAGTATTGTATTGTATCGTTTTTAAAAAACTGAATTACCTAGTCTGCGTAGCAAACTTTTCAGCTTTTAAGAGCGAAAAAATTACGCCAAAATATTTACGTGTCCAAAATGCGGAAACTCTAATTAATTTGTAGAGAAACGCTTGCTACGCAGACTTCAAATTTACATCTAGCGTGATCGATCTCGGATACCTTGATTATTTCCAGCAGATGATGAAATATCATTGCGCATTACAGCTAGACACTGACCAAGTTGTGGAGTTCGCTCCTCTCCACCGCGGGCACTGTAGATCGCAGGAGTACTATCAGAATCTGCAGCACTGCGCGACAATGGCTGACGAACTAGTTGGACAGAAGATGTCAACTCTGTACTTTTAGCTACTTGAACAGGTTCCGCTGGGGAATACATAAATGTATAATGAAGGTAAAATTTGTGTTTCAACTGAATTCCAGCCTTGACTTATCATGTGACTCTCACTTTCACATTGTAACAGTAACCATGGTAACTGATGTCTCCATGTAGCACAGGGTGCCATTCTGTTTTGAACAGATCAACTTTAAACCTTTTTTGTAAACATCCTGTACATATATTAAGGTGGGGGTTAACATGAAGGCCATATTTTTGCTGGGTATTATGGTTTGAATGCAAATATCTCGTTCATATTTCAAGCAGTGAAAAATCTCTCCGCTCATTTCACATAGCTACGTTTTGGGCTGTTTTGTAAATTTTTTGGTGATTTTTGGGTACATTTGGGGGTAAATAGTTTTTCTCAAAGGATTAGTAAAATTTATGGAAATAGGAAATTTTGAAAATTTGATGTTGTTTTAAAATTAGAATTTGAAGTTAGAAATTGGTAAACATACACCAAACAGTTGCCCACCAACCTGGAGTGCCCTTTTGGGGGCAATCAACTGTCTGGTGGTGTTCCAAACCCCTTTTTATCCTTTTAATCCCTCTTTAAACTTTCTAAAATTTCACTTAAATTCATGTGTACCGTGCCCCCGCCTTAAAGGCTGTGTCACACATTTCCTCTCAAAAAACGACTTTACCTACACGACAGTCAGACTCTATAACTGACTCACAAATTTTTGACAAATCTTTTCACTGGAAAAAATTGTCATGAGCTAAAACAAGACTTCTTTATGTTCAGTTTCCTATGCGATGAATCAGATAATGAATAAATAAATTAACTGATCAAATTGATTTGAATTATACCTTGGCTTGTGTCGCTGTTTTCTGGAATAGCAGGATGGTTGTCTGTATTATCACCACCCCCATCAGTAGTCACGGTATCTCTTTTACCTGATAATTTAATTGAAAGAAGACTTATTACAAACTTAATGTTGTTGTACTGCACTTCAACTCCAGTTTCCCTGAACTGGCAACTTCCGACGATAGCATGACAAACAACCTCACTTATCTCCCCAGCACTACGAGCTGAATGAGCAGCACGTGCTGGATCAGACGATCAGACAAGAGTATCGATAGTCAGAATAGCTGGTTTTCACATGACGTCACTAAAAGTCGAACTACAAAACTATTGATCTTCCTGAGATTTTACTTAAATGATGTATAAGAGCAGCTGAAAACTAATATTCATACAAATTTTTCGCTCCGAATAGGTTCTTGGTTTTGTGATACACTACGCTTGAATTTCTAAGCTTTCGCGTGACGCGGCATTTACATGACGGCCTAGAGAGCTCTC